GGTGACTCTTTAGGTAGAGGCGAGTTGGGAGGGGGGATACTTCTGTTTTGTAAAGATGACTGCATGCGTTCGTCTGTCGCCTTGAGGGACGTGGCACCAATGCGGTGGGGCCAGGCCTCTGCGTCGCCCACAATAAAAGGATTACTGCCACTAGCACTGCCAGTGCTGCTGCTGCTGCTTGGGCGTTCCTTTTCAGGGCTGCCTCTAAGTATCGCTTGTAGCTGTTCTGTCGAATAGGGCAGCCACCAGGCATCTTGAGCAGGCAACAAGTCGAAGTCCAAGGCAGCGCTGCCCATACTACCTTTCGTGTGCAGGTCCAGGAGCTTCGTTTGCAACGCGCTCGTCTCAGTTCCTGCGGTAGCTATTGTTTTTGTCCTATCTCTTATCATGGGGTCCAGCAACCAAGTCGGCCTTGTGTTCCTTGTCACCGTTTCTTTCGGACCTCTGCATAAAAACCACTTCCCAGAAGCAGATGTCCCCAAAGTAGCTGTCTGTATACTGCACGTGTGGGGAGAGCTCACGAAGGCCTCCAGACAGAAGGAAGGAACGGCACGATTCAGTTTCTGCATTTCACACTCATTGATTGCTTCTATTAAATTGTAAAGCTTTAGATCTAGTTTTTTTGCTTGGCTTTCTCCATCTGGTGATAACACGACGTCCGCTTCTGAAACATTGCTTTCCCGCTTGCGGCCTAAGTTCGACAAGCAAGCGCACAGCATTGTAAATTTAAACATGAATGGATAAACAAATAGACCAATCACTCGCTATACGTATTTGTTTATCTATCTATATATATGATATGCATGCTGCTTGTTCAGTGTACCAATTCAGTTCACAACAGGATTCACTAGACATTGAGTGGACGCGTATGCACCATAGAGCCCGCAAACGCAATTCAACATGTTCACACGGAATTTCTATATAGTGCACATCATATACGCATGTGATGCATACAAACAAATGTATAGTCAAAGAAAGAAAGCGGGAAGGCTTACCGAGTCGCAGGAGTTTGC